ATGAGAGTGATATCAACCCATAATGCTGCAGCACTGCCGCGCTTAGGTGGAGGCCCTGCGTAGGGTGTTCGATGAGACCGCTGCTGCTGACTCGCGACGAGCTGATCCGCCGCAAGTCATTTGCCACACTATCTTCATAGCGTGAGATTCCACACCTCTGAGAGTCTTATCGTTACCAGCTTTTTGCAGATTTCCCGGTATCGACCAAGTCACCAACGAGGTGGCCTCACATTGTCTCCGCATGGCCAATGTAGTTGTCTTGCCTGCCAAAGACGGCTCACTCGTGACCATCTCGAAGCCGACTCTGCGAAACCTTCAGGACATCCCTCTGTCAATTCGTAACACAGTCATTGGAACCATGAAGGGAGCCGATCCAACTGTGGTCCCACAAGCCGAAGCCTCGACCGCTGGAGGCTTTATACAATGCGACTCTTGCGGGAAGATGCGTTTGGTTGATCGAATCGCCTTGGCGGTCTCGCAGAAACTGCGGAGGTTCGATTGCGGTATGTTGGAGAATACTCGGTGCATGCAAGCAGATGAGTGGAGGCCACAGTATAGTCCCTTCGCGGGTGCCGATGGAGTCCCTCCTGGAGCCGCCCAGAGAGTTGACTACACCATCAAAGAGACTAAGCCAAAGACAAACGTCAGCGGAGCGAAGCTTGTGGGGAAGAGTGCAGCAGCAGCAGCAACAACCAAGCCGAGGGTGCGCTTGTCTTCATCCTCTATGAAGAATGGAAACCAGAAAACTGAAATTCCAACTGTTGAGGTTCCAGTAGTTCCTAGGCAGGATAATGATGCTCTCGTTGGAGGGGGAGGTGTCTCTGAGGTCAAGAAGCGTAAGCGTAAGTCCAGCACTAGGGAGGGTTTAGTGAAGACTTCTGGGGAGGATCATCGACCTTCTGTCGCTACGACCAAGAACAACAGTGAGGCGGGGTGGTTCAGGGTAATACTGGGCTCGGAAGAGCTGATGAGGAGTGTGAGCGTGGTGAAGTGGCTTGAGTGTGGTATGTCAGTGCACCAGCTGCCGTAAATGGAGGAGAGTACACATAGATGATATGCCAACCATTGAGGGGAAGGACACTTTCGTTTGCGCTGACCTCTATGAAGGTTCTTGTGATAAGTCCGACGACTGGGAAGAGGCCAGACGGGTGGGCCTCATATCGGCATTTATAAAGAGATATATCCTGTCCTTAGGAGCTGCTGTATTGTAATCCACGCGGGCGCTTTGGGGTGAGTCTTTCTACCATCACGTTATCCAAGGCAGTGTTCTTCCTTCCTACTAGGCTAAGCCTACCTCGGTACGG